TTGAAAAATGAGGAGTGGGTGGATTTTTATCATTGTAGGGTGTTTGTGTTCACACACTGCCAACACACATTTATGTCCAAAGTGGATTTTGCATAATAGGTGCCCTTTAAAGGACATAAACTAACTTTATGTTCTGCCTTGCAGGTTGCTGTGGAGACTCTTGCCCTAATCTCCTGGATGAAGAGCCAGCCATTTGTGCTTGGTGCCAACCTGCAGGGTGGCGAGAGACTTGTGACATACCCCTTTGACATGCGCCGTCTCACCAAGGAATCTGAGGAGATGGAGAAAAAACTAAATTCTAGAGCAAACAGACGTAAGCGACAATATGAAGATGAAGAAGAAGAACCCAACCCTTACCTTCACATTGGATACCATCAGGAGAGCTACAGTGGCCCTCATGAAAATGCATATAATCAAGAGAACTATGGGTACCATCAAGAAAGTTATGGGCATCACCATCAAAACCAAGGATATCATGAGGAGAGCCAAGGGTATCACGATGAGAACCAAGGCTACCACGATGAGAACCAAGGCTACCACGATGAGAACCAAGGCTACCACGATGAGAGCCAAAGGTACCATCATGAGGGTCACTCTGAAGGGTACCATGAGGGTTATCAAGAAGGATACTCAGAGGGATATAGGGAGGGATATGGAGAGGGTGAACCAGAAGAGGAGATCAGAGTGATTGAGGACCAATCTTTGTTCCGCTGGTTGGCCATATCTTATGCCTCTACTCACCGCACCATGACTCAGACCTTTCAGGGAGGATGCCATGCTGATGACCCAACAGGTGGGCTGGGAATTGTCAACCGTGCCAAGTGGAAGCCCATCCCAGGAAGTGAGCATTAGGAACTTGCCTTGCACCATCATGTGATAGATCATTAATTGGATAATTTAGAAGAAGGTGTCCAATCCTACTTCTGTGGGCCCTGCAAAGGTTAGCTTCCCTGGTCCTGCCTGGAAGTTTTTATCTGGCGTTAAGTCTGATGTTGTAAGTCAACGTTTCGGGGTCCAAATGCTTTTTCTGATAGGAAGGTGGGAATTGCAGGAAAGTGGCCCTCCAAAAGTAGAATTGGACACCCTTGATCTAGGACACTGGGCAACTTTGGTCCTGGAGAGCCACTGTCCTGCAGAGTTTTGCTCCAACCCTAATCAAACACACCTGAACAAGCTAAACAATGTCTTCAAGACCACTAGAAAGCTACAGGTAGGTCTGTTTGATCAGGCTTGGAGCTAAACTCTGCAGGACAGTGGCCCTCCAGGACCGAAGTTGCCCAGCCCTGATCTAGGAGGATCTGTAAGATCAAATTGAATCTACATTGACACCCTAGAGACTCTTTTTGATAACTGTAGAGATTTTCTTTTTGATACCTGTTCCTGTCCCTACCTCTCTTCTAGGTATGAATGACTTCAGCTACCTTCACACTAACTGTTTTGAGCTGTCCATTTTCCTGGGCTGTGATAAGTTTCCTCATCAGAGTGAACTTTTAAGAGAGTGGGAGCATAACAGAGAGGCCCTGCTGACCTTCATGGCTCAGGTGAGCTACTCATTTCCCCATCATGGGCACAGGACAGTTGCAAGGGCTTAGAAACAGAAAATCCCTTGTAGGTAAGACTTTGAGAACCCAGCGCCAGAGTTGTAGTACTTGAGTCTGGTCAAAACCAAATCAAATCCGTATCAAGTCCAAGATCCTATTTTTGAGGCAAGTTCCTTGCTGAGTCCAAATGCTCCAAAAAATACGGTCCTGGAATCAGGCATGAGATGGACTTCAGTCTGACTACAACACTGCCCTGCGCTAGGGCTGGACGATATGGCCAAAATTGATATCACGATATATTTCTTAATTTCGGTCGATACGATATAATTCCGATATTGATATGAACACTATTTATCTGAAATGGAAATCTTTTGTTACATTATAAATGCCTTTATCATCACTTTTGATCAATTTTAAGCATCCTTGCTAAATAAAAGTATTAATTTCTATAATTTCTTTCCTAAAAAAATAATAAAAATTCTACTGAATGGAATGGTGTATAATGTTACAAAAGCTTTTTATTTCAGATAAGTGCTGATCTTTGGATCTTTCTATTCATCAAAGAATCCTGAAAAAATTTACTCAACTGTTTTAAATATTGATAATCAGCATATTAGAATGATTGCTGAAGGATCATGTGACACTGAAGACTGGAGCAATGATGCTGAAAATTTACCTATGTATGATCACAGGAATAAATTACATTTTAAAATCTATTCAAATAGAAAGCAATTTTGAATAGTAAAACTATTTCAACATTTTACTGTTTTTGCTGTACTTTGGATCAAATAAATGCAGCCTTGGTGAGCAGAAGAGAATTCTTAAAAAAAAAAAAAAACATTAAAAATCTTTTGACTGGTAGTGTAGGCTGATTATTCTTATAGATTGAATCAAATGTGCTTCAGCCAGAAAATAGGGTATGAAAAGTGCTCTGAGTCGCTGCAAAAAAACAAAAAAATTAAACAACAAAAACTGGAAATGTTGCTGGAGACGGGCTTATTTAAAATGAAATCTGATTCTCTGCCAGCAGGAGGCGGTTTTAGAGTAATAAAACTAGCGGTTTCTCCAGTAATGGCTGTAATCAAAGCAGCTCCGCTCATGAACGCTACTTTATCAGATCAAATGAAAATGCCATCGAAACTTTTCTGAAGACAGTCAATTCCCTTTAGAGATACATTCATATAAAACACCCGCCGTGTTATGATTTTGAAACGTGCAGTGCTCATGTTTATTCAACGAAGTCAAGCTGCACAAATAAATCAATGTATGGGAAACTGATAATGCATATCGAAATATCGGAAATGTGCTTAAAAATCATATCACTGTTATTGAAAAAAATTATATCGCGATACATAGTGATATTGAATTATTGTCCAGCCCTACCCTGCGCTATATTACATTAACCATGGTCCTTTTCCCAGGTGCATCGGGGCATTAAGGGAGTTGTGAGGGATAAGGAGGGCAACCCTATTTCCAATGCCACTGTGTCTGTGGAGGGAGTCAACCATGACGTTAGGACAGGTGAGATATTTTCTGTAGTTCTGAAAATTGCCCTGTTTTTTGGGTACTGAACAGTTTCAATAAAAAAAAGTTTTCTACTCCTAGGTGAATCTGGAGATTACTGGCGACTTTTAAACCCTGGTGAGTACCGTGTAACAGCCAGAGCAGAAGGCTACTCCCCCTTCACCCGTCTGTGTGTGGTAGGGTTCGACCCAGGCGCTACCTTGTGCAACTTTGACCTCAACAAATCTAACTGGGACCGCATTAAACAGATCATGGCTCTCCACGGCAATAGGCCCATCCGATTGCTGAGCAGTGGCAACAGGGGTAGTGGACAGCACTATACATACAGCACTAACCAAATCCCAAATTCTAAATTCAGTAACCAAATTCCTAACGGTAATGGTGGGGACATGAATAAGGCTCGGCTTCGTCGACTACGGCTAATAAGAATCCGCCGCCTAAGGCAACAGAGGCTTCTGGCCAACAAAACAACAATGCTACCTATCACAACCACGACGACCACAACCACAGTTCCACCTACCACAGAGAGTACAACTCCCTGGTATGACTCTTGGCCTCTTGGGGAAACCTTTGAAGAGAACACAACCCCACCAGAAGAGATTGAGTTGACAGATGCACTGGACTACAACTACAATTTAAAGATTGATGATTATTAAGAGGAAACTACAGATCAAAGTTTTGCTCCAGAGATTGATTGTTTTGGACTAGTATAGGTAATTATTGCCATGCTTTTGCCCCTTGGTTTGATTGGATCCAGTGACTATGAAGAGCTCTGAGCAAAGAGGTGTCACATCTAGAACCAAAGAATTCTGGCAACACCGTAAAAAAAATGCTTTGCACAGTTTTGAAGTAATTACACATAAGATTTTTATTCCAGAATATAAATGATCAAATTGATTATTAAAACTCCATTTTCTGGTTGCAAAGGAAGCAGCACTCAATGGTTTGCAAAGACTATAAGTAGTAAGAATAATTATGCTGTGTATTCATGGCTAAACATCTGTACTATACTACCAAAATGTAACATAAGAACTTCTCATATGACCATCATGCCCACTGAGGGGAAATGAGAATGTTTGAACGCAAGAGACTTGGTCGTATTACCACTTCTTTCTCTCACATAAACGGTCAATGTTTGTTGAAGGCAAGTGTACAGGGAAGATTTTCCCTCAAAGTTCCACCATATTTAATGGTCTGTGCTAAAAGACGTTTCTTTTCAGTAAATAAAGTCTTTTCATATTCACACTGTTGTCGTTTTATCTGCATTACAGTGTCACGTGCACATCAAGTCACTACCTTCATACTCTCTCATACTTGACAGTACACATAAGGGGTGACTGTATTCATAGTGTAGTCCAGCCTTTCCTAGCATATTGATTCTTGTACTAAACATTTACATGGCAGTAAATGTTGACTGAAGTCCACATCGGGGAGTCTTCCAAGATTAAGGGATCTTTCTAATTATAACATTGTCATTTTTGAAATTTAAAATAACTTCGTTTAAAAGGCAAACTAGTCAATCAAAATACTTGAAATGGAAACACTTTACAATAAGATTTCATTTGTTGACATTAGAGCATGATGCTCATGATATCTATATACAACAAAATGCACAACAAAAAAAAGCCTACATAGAAATGAACATTGGATACATGCTGTAGAAGCAGGGTTGAACTTGGGAGATATAATGCCATTCACAGATGGCACAAGGACGCGGAGCGTTTCAAAATGATGATTTCTCTGGACCTGTATTGGGATGATGGAAGTAGCCTACAGAAGTCAACAAAATATATTAAACTGTTCTAGTGGTTTGTGGATGTTTTAATGCAAAAGTCTTACATATTGTGATCTTGATCCTACTGAATTACAAACTGCAATCACTTAGTCTAACCCAGCTGACATTAATTGGCCATGACCTCGGAACAAAATGTAGCCTATAAATAGATCCACTCAACCGGTAACTTTAGTAGGCATTTCCCCTTTTATCAGCAACATGTTCGCTCTTGGTGTCTTCCTACTTACCTGTAAGTTCATTCGATTTCATCTTCGACTTGGTAAAGAAAAGGTACCTGAGAGTTTATTTGACTGAATGGTTTAGTGTTGTTTTGGTTGATCTGGTGAACAGCACATGTAGAGCAGACACAGGTTTATCCTTGATCTTCATTCTTTTGCCTCAGTCGCTCTTGGTGTCTTCCTACTTACCTGTAAGTTCATTCGATTTCATCTTCGACTTGGTAAAGAAAAGGTACCTGAGAGTTTATTTGACTGAATGGTTTAGTGTTGTTTTGGTTGATCTGGTGAACAGCACATGTAGAGCAGACACAGGTTTATCCTTGATCTTCATTCTTTTGCCTCACGTACTAAGTACTTCAGTAGGCTACATACGAAATGAACAATAATTAGAAATGTTAATAGCGTAAATACTGGTATAAAAACGCCTGATTCAGATCATCACCTCATTAGAGTCCATGTTTACTCGTCAAACACCTTAAGTTACTGTTAAAGGTCACATATTTTACACCTTTCTGGAGTTTTATTTTAGGTTTTGATGTCCTTAAGAATATATATATTTGCGGTATAAGTACCAAAAACCATCTCAATATATTTTTCCAGCTCCTCTCTCAGGAGCTCTGCTGAGAACAGGTTGATTTTGGCCTGTCTAATTAATATTCATGAGCCTCTCTTCTGATTGGCCTGTTGTTTTCTGAGTGACACACGGCCAGGCCAACCACAGGTAACTAGGGTCAGCGACGTCACAGCGCTAGCTGG